CATATGGAGGAAAAGAAGAAAAAGAAAAAGAAAAAGAAAAAGAAAAAGAAAAAGAAAAAGAAAAAGAAAAAGAAAAAGAAAAAGAAAAAGAAAAAGAAAAAGAAAAAGAAAAAGAAAAAAATGAGGGTGACAGGAAAACAAATTCTGCAGATAAAGTGACATCTGATATGCAGCTAATAATAAAAAATAGTCAGTACTGAAAATACTAAACAGAATTTTTTGTGGATGAAGAGTATTTTATGGAATAAGACAGTTTTAAGAGGGAAACGTGGAAAATCCCAATGAGAAAAATCCAGGTATTTATAGTCTGAAGGGGGATCATGGGGTCCTCTTCCCTGTCCCTCCTGAGCCCCCAAGGTAGGAGGTGCTGCACCCACGGCTGGGGCACGAATCCTGGCACACACAGCGCTGAAGGGGCAGGGGCTGATTTTCAACTCCCTTCTAATAGTAATATGCAATATTAAAAGCAAGCATTCTACAATGATTTAGCAATTCCATAAATAACATTAAGAACGGCTCTGTGGCATTTATGCCAGTTTTAACTGTTCCACTCCAGTTTCTCTACGTGCTTTCTCCCCAGAGGCTTCTTTGCTGGGGTGGAAAAGGGGCCCGGGGCCTTTGGGTACGTGGCCTAGACGGGGGGTCCAGGCCAGACACCCCCGGACTGCCAAGGACCACGTACCTTGGTTCAGCTACAGCCGCTCTGCACGGGCCTTGGAAGGCTGCAGGGTGTCCATCCACAGCCCGTGTTGCCCTGAGATGCCATAGGAAGGTTAAAGTAATCCAACTTTTTTTAAAAAAATCATTTCCCATCAACTGACCATGATAAAGACCGTCTGGGAAAACCAGCCAAAGAGGATCCCCATTTCTGCTGCATGCATTGAAGTGGGGACAGGCTCCTCCTGGCCCAAACTGGAGGAATAAGTGAGCAGCTGGTGAGCCGTGGGGTCAGCAGGGCCATCACGATGGCAGAGAGAGGGAAAGCACCCACTGTCCTTAAGCAATGAATAATAATGAATAATCAGCGTCGGAAAGGGCAGAGATGGGAGCAGACGTCCCCGCCTCCATTCCCCAGCCCCTGCTCATCCATGGGCAACATGCGGGAATAGTGCCCAAGGGAGGGTTGCTGGGCTTGGCCTGGTGTTCGTGGGCTTCCAAATCTTAAAATAAATGTACCCAGTGGGGGCTACCTTGTGAAAGGAGCCACCAGGGAGGACAAATCACAACCTCCAAATTTCCTTTTTTTTCTTCCTTTTCCTCTCCTCTTCCTGCTGCTCTGCTTGCTTAACCTCCAGGTACGGGCTTAAATAACTCTGCTAAATAGCAATAACGAGCAGGCAGAGTCAACACCGCGGTGCGTAATCACCTTGTCGAATGTGCTTAACATCAGCGATCCCTCCTTCGCACGCACGACGCGCCCCAGACCCTGTCTGCGCGACGGCCTCGCGTCGCGCCGCACGCATCGTCATTTCCCAAAAGCGGGAATTCTCCCACGCATCTTCCTTCTCCGGGAACGTCTAGGAAATTCTGGGAAGCGTAAGCCACCACTGAGTTCCTTTCTGAGCGGCTCGGCCCCAGCTCCCATTCCCGTTGCCCAGTTTCGTCGTGCAAACAGGTGTGCAAAGCCGAGCGCCGGCTACGACGAGTGCCAGCAAGAGAGCCCAGCAGCCCTCGACCCTCCCTCAAGCTTCTCTGCAGCATTGACTCTACAATTAGTTTCAAAAAGGAAACAGGAACTTCTGCTAAAGTTTCAGATCTTTATAGCTGTCTTGGAGTACTTTTCTTACAGGGAGGGTCTACAGCGTTACTGCTGTGAAAAGTCTTAACTTTAGATGTAAAAAAACACTTCTAAGAGAATTGTCTTGATCTTTTTTTTTTTTCCTCTAATTATTAAATTTCAGGTTTCAAAACCAGGTCACCGTGGCACAATTCCACATCGCGCTGACACAGCCGCAATTTTGTCAAACAGGAATCGCATTAATGAGAGATAGAGTGAAAGTTACTGTGTATAAACTTAGACCACAGCGGAGCTAAAAATAAGCCTGCGAATACACACCGGAGTTGCACAACAGAACCCCAGCAAAGGAAATACGAAATTATACACTTTGTTTTTTTCCCTTTTGTTTACTTCTTGTAGTTGTAACTTGACGTATTTCATCAGCTTCTCAAAACATGTTTTCTTCTCTTTAACAACTTCACCGTTTTCCCCCAAAACCTCACCTTCCACTTGATAAACCGTTATGCACAGACAGAGCCTTTCTACGAGGAGCAAGGATCCCTCAGGCACGAACGCATTTCCAAAACAGGCCCCTAAACATGTGCACTGACATACAAGACGTCCCAACTGCCAGTGAAATAAAGTGAAATTAAAAAAAAAATCAAATGTAATTCACTAGTTCCAGCAAAAACAGATTGCTGCATTGAGCACATCCCAGTCCCTGCTGGACTACAAGTGCCTGCGTAACAATTCGCCTCGACCTTTCAGTGACGGAGTTCATAAAAAGAAAACGGGATGGGGATAATATAAAAATCAAGGCTACAGTTCCCCTTCAAACCAGTGGGAGCTTTGCCTGAGTAAAGACAGTGGGATGAAGCAGTAAAGCAGTCGATGAATAAGTTAGAAAAATACAGAGCCGTGTTTTGTTCTTAACTGTTCCAGAATAAATCCAGATTTACGCTGGTACAACCGAGGGCAAAAGCGTCTCACGGCGTCAATTTGCCAGTCTAGCAATGCTGCTTTCTGAGCTCGACGAGCGACAGTCTTGAAGGAATGAGATCATGGTCGTTATATTATTCACTTTTGTCGTGGCCTTGATTTTAAAAGAGGAAGAGAGTGAGCGAAATCACCAGTGTCTGAAACCACTCGCCTCCAAATCCCTCATCTGCTTCACACAACAAGCTATCTCCTGCATTCTCTCATTGAAAAAAAAAAGGAGGGAAAAAAAAAAAAACATTAGAAAAACCCATTAGAATGAGGGTCTTTTCAAAAAAACAAACCAAAATGATTTGTAATGACGTATGCAGACATACACACAGAGAGAAAATAAAATCCTGGCCTTGCTGAATTCAATAGGAGTTTGGCAATTGACTTCAGATGGGCCAGAATTTCACCCAGGGAGCTTTAGCCTCGCATCCGCTATGGATCTATACAAAAACTACTGCGGATTCAGTGCATTACATTTATTCAGCTTCCAACGCTTAACCCTGCACTCCCCGAGCCTTCACGCCTTACCCGACAACATTTCTACTCATCCTGACACGGGTTTCTCCCAGACAAGTGCACAGCGACGGGTCCAGAGCGAGGGGGGGTCCTTCTTGCGAGGCGGCTCCATACATCCTTCAGCAACACCTAATTATTTTATCCAGTCTCCCTGTGCCTTTGATACACCTCCTGCTTATCAACATATTCACACAAATTAAATAAATTTATCTCTCCTAATATGTTCATTTTTAATGGTTTTCAAACATTCACATGGAAACAGCTCTAGCGTAAATATCCCAGAACAAATGGCTGTATATTATACAGGAGGGAGCAGTTGGGCTGCCAGACTGGGAATGCACCAGGCCATCTGGCTCAGGCAGTCTCTCCAAAATCCTCAGCTTTGTTTTCACCCTCAGACTCCAAACAACACATTTTCCACTGTGATGAGTTTACATTTTCCCAAACACAGGTCCTGATCATGCATGCAAATTCCAAACTTCTCCATTCCTCTCTGTACAAGAAAATTAAAATCACCTGCCCTTCTAACACATCACCAAAGGAACAAGAAAGCTGTTAAAATCTGGCGCAACACAAACTTTCCCCGTCGTAGGGGTTAGGGCTTGTTTTATGTTTGTTTGAAATTTCTCTGATTCTGCTAAGGCTCCTCTGAACTTATTGATAACATTTTTTTCCCCATGTGCGTAGCTGCCAGAAAAGGACCATGCTACGCACAAGACAGAGACGATCGGATATCTGCAGACATCACAGAACTCGAGAGGAGGGAGAAAAAAAAAAAAAAGCAAAAAACAGAAAAATCATTTGCATCCAGAGTTTAAATTACTAAAAAAAAATCCAAACAAAAAAAAAAGGGGGGCAAAACAACAAAACAAACCCAGTGTCCAAAGGAAGCATTTTTGACTCACAAGGGTTCTCAGCAGTAGACAATAGCTATCTCACAAAACTTAGGATTTTTAAGAGGCCTGAGTCGTATTACCATCCGTTAAATCTTATGGATGAGAACGGCAGAAGGAAAAATGGGTGGGGAACAAGTATTTCAGATTTATTTCCTCCATCTTTCCTAATAGCGAAATATCTCAACTTTATGAAAATATAACTGAAGAAATAGCAGGCATCTCTTTTCTGTAAATATATTAAAATCCTTAGGCTTGCCTAAAACCTCCACTTTTATTAGAGCAGGCATATTTCACGTTTTGCAGGCATTTTCAAAATGCATCATTGTTCGAGCCAGACCTACTGCAGCAAAAGCTGCTGGTTTACAGAAAGCAACAGCTATAAAGTTTGGGATCCTACAGGGTTTTGAACACATTAGGAATGTGATCCTGACATAAAATGAGGTGCCAAGATAACATAAAAGAAAATTTAATTAAGGCAGTATTGACGTTCAATATTGTTATCCTCAGTGAAAAGAATTTCTCCACCAAGTTAACGATTCGAGCGTTGTATTTACAATTCTAAAATGACTGGCACACGTTTTAGAAACATAGCGAGACCCCTCGAAGGCCAGTAATTACCACGTCCTACCAGCGCTTCTCTGCGGCTGCCACCAAGGGCCAAGCCCGTTATCCTGCCCACGACTCGCTACGATGCCGCTTGGGACCAATCCCACGAGCATTTCCCGCTCCTTATTCCCGCAGCCCGGCTGCGCATGGACGGCTCGCCGTGCGGGAGAGCACCCAGACGCTTCGTATCCACACGCGGGATCTGCCGTGGGACACACGGTGGGGACAAAACCCTCAGCAGGATCCCTGGGCAGCCCCGTGCCCCACGGCTGACACAACGTGTGCGTGGGCGCCGGGACAGCGCGTTGCCCTCCACGGCAGGGCGCCTGGCGTGAGCCTCTTGGCCGAGGACACGCAAGCGATCGCAGCACGTCCCCACCTATACAGATCAATAACTCAACAGCACCAAAGACAGCCCCTGGTTATCATATATACATATATATATATATATGTATTTTATATATATATGTATACATATACACACACACGGAACACGCAGCACTGTGAACTCCTGGCCGTGCGTCTGCTGGCACCACGCAGGCTGCTATCGCCCCGTTCGTGCTAAAGCCGGGAGGAGCAATCCCACATGCAGGAAGTCCGATCTGCCGAGCGCGTTTTATTCTGTCTCACCTAACTCAATAATCTGCATTTGTGTAAACTTTGGAGCTTGTGAAATCAGGAGAGCACAGTTACTACTGATTCGTCCACACTAAGAAAAAAAAATACTTCACATAAGGAGAGAGCAGAAGGTACTTTCCCATTTGTTCTGGGGAACCTAACTCAGGCAGGCTTTGCTTCTGTGGGATTTTTAATTTGCCACCAGAAACCTCAGAGTAGCTGTAATTTTAGTCTGGGAATTCACTACTACTGAGTGTGTGAATGTGCCTGGACAAGTATTGAGAAGCTCCTTGCCAGCTGAAACATGTACCATTCTGCAATAGTTTCATTTAAAAGTAATCATTTCATTATCCAATTTGTTCTGAGCATCAGGCATTAAAATACTACACCTTCAAGTAGACTGACAATATATATTTAACTTTCATTAAAAATTAAAGATTTTCAGACAGTCTTTGCAATATTTAATTACAGTTTGATGATTTGAAAGTTACTCGAGAATCTTCTATATAATTCACTGTGATAAAGCATAAATGATATATTCTACATTTTGGTGAGCTGCTGCTGTATGCTGAACTTTGGTTACTAAATGCTTATTAGGAAGCAAAGTGGTTACATCTCTGAAATAACTGCACTTAAATGAATTTAAAAAAAAAAAAGGAAGCAGCAAGGAGATTTTATCCCCTGGCTCCTGGAAAAAAAAAAAGAAAAAAAAAAAAGAAAAAAAAAAGAGCAGCACATGCCACAGTTTTGACATGACAATACCCTACTTTTCACAAGCAATTATAATCATGCCTAAATAAATTGTATTTGTGAAATTAATATGTAAGGAAACATGTTTGTATCTGAAATATCATTTTGCTCCCTGTTTCTTAGTCTAAATTCTGAGAGCTTTTGTTCTTAAATCCTTCCTTTCTCAGCTCCATTGCACTTTCTCCAAAAAAACCTATAAATTTGAACTAACTTTGTTTTTGTGAGACTTCCTGAAATCGGACAGATTTTTTGTTCATTGCAAATGTACTTTAAAGCTACATGGTAGGTTCTACAAATAAACTGTATCTCGGGGGGAGGAGGGGGGTCCCCCTTTTCTCTCCAAAGACCCTCTGATGACTTGATAATAATGAGAGACCAAGAGGTCAAACAGTGCCTTAGGATGAACTCTTCATATGCAAGATGCCTTTGTTAAGAAAATTATTTTGAATCCATTGCTCGGCATGAGTTCAGAGATCTGTTTTCAGTAGGATTATGAACAGAGGCTTTTGCATTTCCATAATGATAGGAAAGCTATTTAAAGATAATATTTATTGATAGCCTTTCTTGCATGGGCTACAGTGATACACATAAGCTCCAAAAGGACTAAGAAGAGTTCACATATCAGAAGGATTTTGTTACTTTTGATACAAGCTAACCAACTTGCGCTGGAAAAACAAGGAATGACAGCAAATGCTTTCCAAGATTTGCTGTGGAGCAGGGATTGGTGCTGCTGTTCTAATTCCTATAGGATCTGGGCTCTGTTTAGAAGTGGAGAGTTTAACAGAGTTCAGATGCACAGTGGATTGCCTAGTAAAATTTATCCAAGTTCTCTCCCCCTCCTCTTTTTTTTTTTTTTTTTCTGTTGAAAGGCAGTCTTCAATAGCAGGAAAAGATGTTTTGGGACCATCAAAGAGAGTTTTCTAAAACAAACTCAGCCCTTAGAGCTCTGTTTTGCTGTAGAAAAGAAATTCAAATACAAGCCAAGAGATTTCCTACAGACAGCAGGGTTTAAACATACAGGGACTGATTTTCCTATCTGTGCAAATAAAAAAAGATCCCAATATTTTTCTTTTTTGTTACTAAAATAAATTTTAGGATTTTTTTAAATAAAGAAAACAGATGTGAAGGGAGAAAAAACATATCTGAAGGATAAAAAAAGACTTAAAACATCCTCAGCTATTAAAAGAAAATGTGTTACAAGAGGAAAAGATTCTGACGAGAACAGAAAAGAAAGCTGGAGTGACGAGTTAAAAAAATCGATTTGCTGAAACAGTCCCTTTAAAAAAATGCTGTTTTTTTATATAGAAAAGTATGCGGTTTTATAGGCAGTCACACACTTTATGGCTCTGTTTGTGAAGCTAAAGAGCAAGCTTAAAATTAGGGCTAATCCATTTACGAGGCTCGCTGTCCTGCCGCTCTCCTCGAGCGCGGACCCCGCGCCCACTCGCCCGCGGCGCGGCGGCTCGGGGGGCTACCGCTCCATGCAAATTGGCCACCGCTCGCTCGCTCCTCCTCTAACCCAACTCGCCGGGGCAAAGAAGGAAAGGACGAACAGAAGCGACAGCGGCCGGCGCCCGTCGGGGGTGCTGGGAGGGGGGTTACTCGCACTACTCG